CCTGCCCCCCTCAAATCCCTGCCCTGAGCCCTCCGCACTCCCTCCCCCCCACACTTAAGTTTTGTACAGGTATTGTCATATTGCATCCTCCCCCCCACACACACCTCCTTCCCCTGACCTCCCCCGGGGCAGCAGTACAACAGTACCTGTCAGGAATGTCAGTTATTGTCTCCCTTGCCTGGGAAAGCCACCGCTGCTGAGTGTGGAGCCAGACTGGGCGGGAATGGCCTGGAATGGCCCTTCCCCTTGCTGGGTTTGTTCCTTTCGTTTCTTTCAGCAGTTTTTATTGCATGTGCCTGTTAGGACCGTGTGTGTGCTGGCTGGGTAGGCAGTGACAATCTCTCCTTGGGAACACAATGTACCTTTCCTGTGCCGCTACAGCGGAGCGAATGCCCAGTGCTGGGGAGAGCCCCTGCTGCTAGTTCCTGGGCAGGGGCAACCGCAGGCTACTGATGAAAGAGGTCCAGCAAGCAGCCCACAATCCATAGGTACCTTAAAAAGAGTGTTCTCATAAATGTACCCCCCTGCATCACAGTGCGATACCATGGCAGGCTTGTGGGGAGAAATGTGCCTGATGGGCACACGACCCTTTGCTCCCACTCACCCCCAGATGACTCGTTTTTCCCCCTCCACGCATTGCCGACATTTCCCAGAAGGCAGTGTGCCGGAGGGTGGGGAGTTGCACCGTGACCGTGCGTTGTCACAAGCACTCTGGGTGAGTGTGCGCGGTGTCAATGCACGCCATCCAGTGTGCCTGTGTATGCACAAGAAGGACAACCTCATGCCGACGTAACGTACGTCCACCGGAGTCTGCGGCACGGATGTCGCTGCAGGCGGACGAGCGCTTCACCCGCTGCTTTCTGAAGAGCAGTCGTCTCCAGCCTTTTGAAGCACGAGATCACTTTTAGAATTGAAGTGCAATCCAGGATCTACCTCAAGCCCAAACACCCCGACCCCTCCTCCTTCCTGCCCCTTCTCCAAGGCCCCGCTCACTCCATCCTCCCTCCCTCCCCCATCCTCACGCACTTTTATCAGGCTGGGGGCAGAGGGCTGAGGTTTGGGGAAGGGGAAGCGGACTCTGATCTTCAGCTAAAGGATTTGGAGTGTGGGAGGGGTTCTGAGCTGAGCCTGGGGGGAGTTGAAGCATAGGAGGGAGTTTAGGGTGCAGGCCCTGGGAGTGATTTTGGGTGCAGGGCGACTCAGGGCTAGGGCAGGGGGTTGGGGTTCAGGACTGGGGCTGGGGTTCGGAATGCTGGCTCCAGCTGGGCATCGCTTACCACGGGTGGCTTCTGGGTGGTGGTGCAGGGGACTAAGGAAGGTTCACCCCTACCCTGGCCCTGCACCACTCCCGAAGGAAGCCGCCAGCAAACTCCCTCCATCCCTGCCCCCCAGCTCTAGAGATGGGGTACAGGGTGGGAGGAGGGGGGAAGCCGCCAGCAAACTCCCTCCATCCCTGCCCCCCAGCTCTAGAGATGGGGTACAGGGTGGGAGGAGGGGCACCCCTGACATCAACACCACCCCCTTCCTCTTCTTCCCATGCCCTGCACAGCAAGCAGGAGGCTCCCAGGGGTGAGGGGCAGTTCCAAAGCAGAGGGCAGGAGCAGCACGGCAGTGCTGAGAGGGGCAGATGAAATGCCGGCACTTGACAGCCTCCTGGCCAAACCTGTCAGGATCCCCTGTCAGAGGCTCCAAGATCTACCAGTAGATGGAATTCAGAGGAATGGCAATTAAGGCAGCACATGTGAGAGGCAATGCCTGTGCTTGGCTACGCTCGCGTGTTCTCAGATCAATGTTGGCAGGGACCTAAAGACCTGGCACAGTGCTCCGATACTCACTCTGCACCGCATTGCCCCCATTATCCGCTCCCCAGGGGGTTCAGAAGATACTGAGAAATAAGTTACAGCTCCCTTTCCACTTGTCATTCATATTTCCAGTGTGGTCCCTGCAATGGTGGAGCTTGCAATCAGATATCCCACCTAAGAATGTGTCCTGTTTCACTCTCTTTGTCAGAGAGGCATAACTTTAGATCTCTTCTGGACTTGCCTGCTTGTAATTTGAACTCCTCTTTCCCCATTCTCACTTTTCACTGATTTTCTATTTTGGTCTCTAGGGTTTGACCATTAGCAAAAAAATGATTTGATCTCTACTCCTATACTCCTCTCATTTTTCATGAAGTTAAAGAGGGCTGGCTTAATTACAGCCTCCTGTGATATTCCATCTCGGCAAATGAATGTACGTTGGGAAAACATCTCCTATTTGGACACAACATAGTTTTTTTGCTGAAGAAGTCTCTTATCCATCAACACATCCCTCCTATAATATGCCCCCCCCCCCTTTAGCCCGGCAAGAGGACTTTTCAGTGCCTTTAATTGGACTCGGGTGTCCATAATTAACCTGAGGTGACCCATTTCAGGGTCCCAGAATCAAGCCCTTTCCCCTGCACCAAAACAATTAATGGGGGCAATTCATACCAGATAAGTTAGTTCATTAAACATGCACATGGATCAGACCTGGCTTGGCTGTTGTTAGAGTCACAGCCACTCGCCGGGTGAAGGTCAGAGGCAGCCTGTCTCTGGGTGACAAGTTGTGCCCTGTTTGTACTTGGCTGCCTCTGGGCTAGGGCTGATCTGTCTGCATCCAGACTTCCCAGTGGCTTTGTATTCAGAGTGTCACAA